CACCTCCAAAATAGGAACTTGGCAAACAGAGCCAACAGAGTGCATTGCTAAGCAGAACGTTCTGCCGAGTCCCAACACCAGGACTGCGTGTTATAGGGCACTTGCCAATTCCTGAGTCAACTTTATTTATTATACACAAGAAAGGTCATGACGAATCTCAAAAGATAAAATCTGTGTCTGTCAAGTCACCTTCCTTATTTTCATTGGCCCAGACCCTCACGTTCCACACCAACAATAACAGGACATGGGTTCAGGAGGCACTGTGAGTGCAGCTTACCCTGAGATGGCCCAGGCTTGTTTTGCATTCTTCATAGAACTGATCTAGGCAGCTCAATTCTCTTTATTAGGAGGTGGGTTTTTTTTTTTTCCTGGATGCAATCACCACACTGTACAAGAGCCCTGCATCCATGGAAATTGCAAAGAACAGGCACAATCTTTCACAGCTCAGATGATGCCAAATACCCAAATGATGCAGCTGCAAGTTCTCTAGCAACATGAAGTACCCAAGATATCCTTAACTCCCAGTTAGAAGAAATATCCTGGACCAATACCAGCCCAAAAAACATCCCCATGATCTCATCAACAGCTGAGGCAGCAAGATATGCCACGCACATAGATTTCTTCATTGTCACCATGAGCTGTTATCTAGTAAAGACAAAAGATGGGAGCTGCCTCAGGTTCTGGGTAAATCCTTGGCTAAACCCGTTCAATTGCAGCTCCACTGCTGTCAGTGTCCAAGCTAGCAGGTTTAAAGACTTCCCTGGGATCTGCAGAAGTTGCAGTCACCTCTCTGGATTGCAGCAGAACACTCCCAGAAACCACAGTCTGCTTTGGAGTTCAGGGTAACAGTCTTGGACCACACAGTATGGATCTGCACTCCACATAACCTCATCTTTGTACAGCTTACTCTGAACTTGCAGGCGGAAAGTTCTTTTCCCACTCCTTGCCTTTCACCTGCTGAAAAATCACCACGCTGCTCTCAGACCCAAACTTGGTTTACATTGCTTTCTCTGATGTGTTGCAAGGACTCTAATTCTTGAAATGAAATTCTGATTTTCTGAGATCTAGACAGCACTTTCCTGACACTGCAGAATCTTAGCAGTGACTGCTGCAATCCCAAAGCAGAGAAATGACTGCATCTTACAGCCAAAACTCCTCCAACAACTCCACCCACTGGGTCATTTCTGAGGAAACCTCCAATATCCAGAGATGCCGCTCTTTGTTGTCTGAACAACACTGAAGAGGAGATTGGAAAGTCATGGAGGAACACAGGTCCCCTTCCTATTCAGCGAGACTCCAACCTTCAGTGAGTCACATCATCTAACCTGAGGTGCTTATTTGTGGGATTAGAGAAGTGGATTCCTCTCAGGATCACTCAGAGCAGGCAAATGTCTGTCTCCTTCCCATGAATGAACACACAAAGAATCTCTTTTCTCACATGGTCACAGTCAAACGCAAGACTGGAGGAATCTTTCCTGTCAAAGTAAATTGTGAGGTCCACAGGGCCTCAGAGAAGGTGCTCAGAGCTTTTTAACTACCTGAAACTTCTTGAAACACATGCAGACACTTGTGTGCATTATGCTTAGCAGCAAAGTCTTCCTGTTTGGGGGCAAACGTGACAAAGAAGATTCTGCTGCTTTAAATATTGTGAAAAACTCTTTAGAGCCAGAATCATTATTTCCCATTTGTAGGGAAAACCTACTAATCCTCCACAGCCCCATCCTACTTCATCACTCAGAAATGTCAGCAGCTCCCCAGTGCTGCAGCCAGCTCTTGTCTACAGCAAAAGCCCTGCAGAGTCTAATTGCTCAGGGGGACTGAGCCAAGGTGTGGATCTCTGAGCAGAGATTTCTGATCAGGCCAATTGTGCTGTTAAGCTGGGAGCTCTCTCTGTTCTTCCAAGTTCTCTTTCTTAGGCACACTATTGTTCCCGCTGGGCTCCTGCAGACACCCATTGTTCTGAAGCTCCTGGCCTTTGATGCTGCAGAACAAAACGCACAGTGTTTGTGAAAGGAGGGAAAATCAAAAAGCTTCTCCGTTCCACACTTGGTTGAACAGCTTGGGCAGCTGGCTGCAGAGCACCAGGGTTGCAGAGCACCAGGGTGCCAGCACCTCTCCACAAACTGGGGACTCCCATGAGGAGGCCTTGAGCACAGCTGCAAAGTGACCCAGAAGAGGGAATGACCAGGGGCTGGTGGCTATCTGGTGAACTTTCATTTCAGAATCTCCCAATTCCAAGTGCTCCTGGACTAAACAGACTTCTATTAACCTCCTTAGACACACATTTATTAGCTGCCAGGTGGAAAAAGCTGGAAATTACTTCTGCGTCAGCATTGCTCAGATTTGATAGGAGAAACACCACAGCAGCATCTAGATGTCCTGCCTCCATTGCCAGACTAATTTGGCTGGCAAGAGCTGGGCAGAAGTCTGGAAGGGTGATGGTCTGAGGTGAACCAGCAGGGCCACATGGAAGGAGAGCCAGCAGGGTGGGATGGCCCAGTGACAGCTGGCAAAGCTGTTGCATGGTGCAGTTATGGACCCTCAGGTCCTGCCAGGGCAGTGGTTTGGGTGAAAACAGCTCTACTTTGTGTTCCATACACAGCTGTGAAGGATTTCTACTGCCACAATGGGAGAAGGCTTCCAGTCCATTTGGGTCTCTCACTTTAGTCCATGCTAATCTTTTCTGTGAAAGCACAGGCTGCACCAGGGAGAGAGTTCTCCACAAGGATCAATCAATGGAGAAAGATAATAACATAATAAAAAAATACTTGCACACAAGATCCAGCCAGCCGGATCTTCCTGGGACAAAGGCACTCACACTCTCTTTTACAAATATATTTTATTATTTTAATGCTTATTAAGAAATGTAACCAAGACAGACTCCGCAGCACCAGCGGCTCCTCACTGCCCAGCAGTCTGATGACTTCACAGGTATGAAAACTTCACAGATTCAAAAAAACCTTTGGTCAATGCACTTTAAATACATTTGCATGCACAGCTTTTCCCACTCCCTTCCCACCCCACCCCCCCAGTGGTAACGGACAAAGGGAAAACAACACCTATATCATAAAACATTTAAATTAAAAGAGTAATTGTTTCATACTGACAGCATGTGCAGCAGGGTGTTCATAGTGTCTTGGTTTGCAGACCACAGAGAACCTCTCCACAGGACAGGGCAGGAACACCAGCTCCTGAGATGGGGGGGAGAGATGGATGCTCTCAGATCAACAGGTTCCAGTCTTGATTTTAACACATCCTTGTGTGAACAGCCCCAGCAGGCAAGTAATGCAGGGAGTTACACACAACATTGCCCCAGTCTGGGGATTGTCATCTATCAGGGTTAGTCACCTCTCATGCAAATGAGGAACTGGTGATTTTTGTTATTCTTTATGTGTTTTGCCATAAAGACAGCCAGAAGCTCAGAGCTGGAAAGAAAAAAAAAAACCCGCTGAAATGACTCAGTGCAATTTGATGCCCAAAACAATTTGGGAGAGAACTGACTTTTAGGCAGCTGAACTTAGCAAACACCACCAGAGAGTATTGCATGCAGGTTTAATGCATTGTGGCACCACTGCAGCCTGTTTGTCCTTCCACAGAACTTGGCTGGAAGGATTTGGTTTTAGGTAGGGTCCGTGCTCAAGAAGCAGAAGAGAATTTGTTACACCTGGAGGTGCTCATGAAATGGGACAATGTATCTGGAAAGAACATAATCCATAAGAGCCATCCCTGCCTCAGTCAATATAGAGTCAACCCTACAACATCAACCCTGTGCACACCCCAAGAAGGGCTGATCCTTGCAGTGACCCCAGGAGAGCTGTAAGACTTTACATCCCTTCCAGAGTCCTTCCCCAGCAAGTCCCACCTTGGTCTCAAGCCAGCATCACCTCTACACCCCACAGCACCTCCCAGCACATTCCTGCTCCCCTGAAATCCTCCCAAACACCTATTCTACAAATGCTCCTTCACTACCAAGAATTCCTGTCCATCCTGACCCTCCAGTCTCCCACACCATAGAGACTTCTCTATTTCCACCAGCATCCCCTGAGGCATCTTCAAAAAATGATCAAAGGTTCAGACTATTCTATGTCACTCCAAGTCCACCTGCACCCTAGCACCACCTGGGACCAGTGAGAAACCCCTTCTGTCTCCAGTATTCCCAGCTGTCCCGCCATGCCAAATTGCTTCTTGGTTCAAGAGCTGCAGTTCAAACTTGCACAGAGCTTTGAAATATCACTGATCCAAACGGGATCTGCAGGATACAGCTGTAAATGCATTTATTTGCACACACAAAAAGCAGTGCCCTATTGAGGAGAGAGCCCCGAGAACTCTTGGTAAAATTGCTCCTGGCAACTGATCAAACGTTGCTTTCTCCAAAACTTTTATAAAGCAAATAAACTCTGGAGCCTAAGAGTCTTCAGGGAATGGTGAAATTCATGGAATGCCCTCACACCAAATGAGGCACCACATCTCTCTATGCATCTTCAGACTTTTTTAGCAAGAAGTTATTGTTCAATTAAATCAGCCTCTGCTGACCCCAGCTCCTACTCTCTGGACCCACTGCACCTGGGATTCCCAGGAAGGTCTTCTCCAGCCTCTCCTGATAGTCACCTCATTCTTCCTTATGTCTTGGCACCATCCTTGTTTATCTGGAACAGCTGGATCAGCTAAACGTTCTGCAGCTGGAAGAAAGTGGGGATATGAGTGGTCCTAGGAAGTTTGGAAGGCAGGTACTTCTTCCAAGAGTGGCGAGCTGCCAGGAGAAGGAAAGAGCACACTTCATTGATGGGACCTATTTTTTTTTTTTAAAGAGCAAATCAAAAAGCAGGAAGTCCTGAAATTATGATCCCTAGGAAACAAGAAATATGAAGTCCAAAATTCTGATCAAAAGGCTCCTGCTCTCCCCAACAACTGCTTCAGAGACATCCTCTGAGGGTCGATCTCAGTCACCATGTGTTTGCCCCCAAGAGTGGAGAGCTGCCAGGAGAAGGAAAGAACACACTTCATTGATGGAACCTATTATTTTTTTTTTTAAAGAGCAAATCAAAAAGCAGGAAGTCCTGAAATTATGATCCCTAGGAAACAAGAAATATGAAGTCCAAAATTCTGATCAAAAGGCTCCTGCTCTCCCCAACAACTGCTTCAGAGACATCCTCTGAGGGTCGATCTCAGTCACCATGTGTTTGCCAGCAGGCCTAGCCTGTGGTGCAGCTGCCATCCCTTCCTTGCTGTGACTGCAGACAGCTCCACAAACCACGCTCTCCATACCCTGCCCTGTCCCCTGCACACAGCCCACCCTCTTCACACACCCTTTTCACTTCAAGTCTTGATCACTAATATTGAAAAGGACTGGATACACTTGGGGGCAGCTCAAGCAGCAGCACAAAAGCTAAATTCAAGACATGTGGAAAGTCACTAAGCTCACATAGTGATCTGGTTGGGCAGGAAAGTTTTCCAGAACAATCTCGAAAGCAAAGCAATCCTAAGTTTGTCCATCAACATAGATCAACCTGATTATTGGGGCAATCAAGCAAGAAACTGCCATAAGTAGGTGTGGAGATGCTCAGGAAATACAGAAATCCAATGCACACCAACTGTTGAAAGTCTGATCCCACGCAGTGGAAACCATCCCTTTACCAATGGCAGCTAAAGCTCAACAGGCAACACTTCTGCACTCGTGTGTGCTCCAGCACATGAGCAATGCTGGTATTTTCCCACACTTCCTTCCCTGCTCTGGGTCTTTGTGGACCTAATTGTTATTGACATGAGTGCCGGATGTAATCTTGTGTTATTCTTAGAAACATTTCAGCTCCCAGCTGAGGCCTGAAGAGAACGGCCCCCCATTTTCCTGAGTTCTTCTGCTGCTGTTACAGGAGGTCAGAGAAGCCATCACACAAATAAGCTACAGAAATATTCCATCAAGAATGATCAAGAGTAATGAGATCCCAAGTCACCCTACAGAGGAGCTACCTATGACATCAGTCACAGGGAAATGGCTCAGAGTTCCTTCATGCTGCTGGAGTGATAATCCTCTCCTCTGACATCAGACCATGGGGAAGAGCCCTGCCAAGAAAGCAGCAGTTCAACTAAACCACGAAGTCTATTGTTTTACAAACTGGCCTGTCTTTCTGCTAAGGACTGTGGGGGCAGCCACATCTTTTTATCCATCTCACAGCAAGCTTTGTGCTAGCCCGGAGCAGCTACATACTCAAACACATTCAGCATCACAAACTTCTCCCCACATGCGTGTAGGGAAACTGGCAAAAAGAGAATTCTCCTCAAAATAAAACTGATTTTCACTTTAATAGTTCATAATATATAAAATAAACATGGAATAAGAACACACAGACCTAACCTGCTCTTCCTCAAGTATGAAAAGCCCCCTTGGCTTCTGAAATGTTAGTGGACAGACACAAGGAGGAACCAGATTGAGGGAGGATATTTCTGATGTTTTCAGCTAGGGAATAAGCTTCAGATTCCTGGAATTACCAAACTTTTCACTTCCCAGTAGGACCACCACTGCCTGTCTCTCCAGAAGGCTGGTAGCACTGGACATGGATTATTTGTCTGAAAAGCACAACCCAGACAATCTTCAGGTAGAATTCAAGCTGATGTGGTTTTCTGCTGTCCTTGAGCTGCCGGACTTCCTTAATTTTTCTTCCAGAAAATTACCAAACTGCAGTGAAACACCTCTTGCAACAAACCACAGCAATGTGTACACTCTTGCTGCAGCACAAATTTGCCTTTTCTCTTCTACAGAAAGTAGAAACTGCAGTTTCTAAGCTGAGTTCCAATATCATTGACACCTTCTCAGAGCAGGAGCATCTTCTAACCAGACAGAGCCCAGAGCTGCCTCTGTTGGCCTCTGCACCACAGTGACACATCAGGCTTCACAGGAAAAAACTGAAATCACAGGAGAAAAGGGTTTTTAAATAGAGCTCATTGGAATTCTAAAATTAGGTCAGGGTGTGTGTGTGGACTGCTCTCTATCCCAAGAAAGAAGTAAAAAAAAGTCCCTCAGCCTGTTGAGTGAGGATGAAGATGACTGAAATATGGAATATTACCTCCCCTCACACACATCTGGGGCCATGGAAAGAATTTGCATTCTAGGAACTCAGGGGGAGAAGCACAGAGGCAGCGGGACAGCAGAAGGTGCCACCAGCCTCCAAAGAGCCCACACACACAGCCCTTCACAGCCCTGCCCTGAGGACACAGCCCACAGCCCTGGCTCGCAGCACCACGTCCTGCTAACAGCCCTTTTGCCGAGGGAAATCCTTGGCAAGGCTCAGCTTTGGTGATTTGTTGGACAAAGTGGAGTGCTGAGAGGTTACATTTGCCATGTGCATCTGGAACACTGAGCACTCAGGGAACAGATATGAGCTCTTGCCCATCTTTTATAAGTTAACATAAAGCAACCTTATCACGTGGAAAAAAACCATTTGAGCAACCTGTTGCAGTATAAGCTTTAAGAACACAAACTGAAAGACAAAGTGCCATGGTTGAAAGTGTCCAGATTTCCCGTCAGGTAAATTCCTTCCCTCTCCAAGCAGCTTCTGGCATCCTTCCTGACAATAGATTTTGCTATCCCCCCTTCTGCTTGTTGCAGGGCCACAGTACTCAGAGGCCCTTCCCAGTTGCTCTTTGTTATTCAGGGAATACTTCCAGCCACACTTCTATTTCCATTGGTAAAGACAGTGAAACCAACACTCAACCACAGGCACAGTACAGCAAAATGTCCCGAAATCCCTGCATCAGCAGTCTCCCAGTGCTGAACTTGGAATGCCATCCTCGACCTTGGCACTGCTCTAGGTGACAGGTCATTGATGGTAACGTGTCCCTCCTTCCTTAGTCCACTTCTGTGGTCTCTTGGCTTTTCTCCAGTCTGGTATTTAGGATCATCCAATAGTCCTGGATATGGACCCCTTTCTCCACAGCGATCTGAATACACTGCTCTCCCCCCGCCCCCCAACCTCCCTTTCTGCCATGGCAGAGGTCACCAATGGAAAAAAAAAAATTCTACCAGGAAAACTTCGAAAGTCTTATCAGGAAACATCAGCTGCAGCAAAGGCTGCTCTTTCCAGATCTGAATAAGACACCTGGGCATCAATTAGCTCTTCACTGTGAAGCTCCCTGTTCAGGCTTGCATCTGAGAGAATCCCATTTTTGCAGGAATGTGGGAGATGCCCATTTGTCTCCAAGTCCAGAGTGTTTCCATTCTGGTGCCATTCCAAGGCAGCTTTGCATTTGTTTAAGTCCTGCTTTTCAGGATCCCTGTGGATCTCTCCGTTGGTGTATACCTCTAGTGCATACTCACTGATCCGTATGCTGGCGTTCTCCGTGTCCCCACCGTGGGTGGAAGTCCTGGAGCTGGCTGCTCCCGCCTTGAACGGCTCCTTCCGGCCCAGGATGTGCTGGCTGATGATTTTACGGAAGGTGTATCGGAACTCCCTGATGCGGTAGGCATAAATTAGGGGGTTTACAACCGAGTTAGCGTGAGACAGGATAATGGCCAGATACATCAGCCAGAGGGGAGCATGGGCGCATTCTGGGCAAAAAAGGGTGAAGCAGTTAATGATGTGAAGTGGAAGCCAGCAGACTGCAAACAGCCCGACAATGATGGCTAAAGACTTGGCTGCATGGACTTCCTTCTGCAAGGTGGAGCGGGAACGTTCCCCATGTACCATCTTGTTCTCCATCTGCTTGAGCTGGCGCCGGGCTGCCATGAAGATTTTCAAGTAGATACCAAACATGAGAAGGAGGGGCAGGAGCACACAGGCAAAGAAGTTGTAGTAGACCATGTACTCCATGGTGACCACGGCCTCGAAGAGACAAGCCACCATGCTGTTGCTGCAGTTGATGGGAGATGACCAGTTGGAACCCAGCTCTTTGATCTGGGCATGCTTGTGCCACCCCAGCATTGGGGTCAGGCCGATGATGAAGGACAACACCCAGCAGATGGCAATGATGCCCTTGGCTCGAGAGCCGGTCACCAAGCCATTGTACCTGTAAAGCAGAGGAGATGGGAGCTGTATCAGTGTCATTCAACAAGCTGCTGACACCCGCACAACCTCACAATGGCCCCATGTTCCAGAAAAGAGTGAGAGAAGCACCTGCTTCATCAGAGGGGCCTTTGCTCTGATGTGCAGAACCCATGCAGCACACCAAGGACATGGTGACACTGTCTGCCACCTATTTCCCTTTCCTTTAAGCAGTGAATAGTTGAGAAAAAAGCAGGGAAATTAATTCAGTTTTCATCTGTGCTCCTTCACTCCACCAGTCCACTTGGGTGTGCACATAGATCTTGCAGCCTGGACAACCACGAGCACTGCTCTGACCCTTGTGATGAAGACCACTGTGGGTCTCTCGCCAAAGGCTAAGGGAGCATCTCCTTCCTGACAAAGGAGCAGCCTTTTAGCATGGAATTGTTAGGTCTGTCTTGCAGTAGATCTGTAAACCAAATAGCACAAAAGAGCCTGGAGGCACAGTGCCACCAGCCCTGCATCCACATTCTGCTGTGCTCCAGGGAAACCCTACTGGCTCAGTTGCAGCAGCCTGGTTGGCATTGCCTGCATGGCACCTCACTCTGCTCCTCAATGGCACTTTCAGGAAGACCAGCACCACCAACCTTCTTGGAACAACTGGGGCAGGTCAGCAGTATTCCTCACCAGCTCAGCTAAATCGACCCCACGTCTTTCTCAGAAAAGAGGAATTAAGCTGGGGACAATTCTCTGACTACAGGTGTGCCATGGCCTGCACTGCACACACCAAAGGGACCTCAGTGGTGGGGTATTGATGCCTGGCTGAAGCCAGTGTTCTTAGTAAACTTTCCAAGGTCTATTGAAAGAAACAATGAGCACCATGGTAAGAATCTGACAGTGCAGCAGAGACCTTGATTTGTTCTAAATATCAGCCAGTTTCCAGGGCCTCACAGGTTACTGCGAGTCCTGAGCTGACTCCACCAGTTCTCCCCTCTGAAAATGTAAATTAGGGCAGCAGTTTAACATTTCAATGCAATTTCCTTCCCTGGGTAATGCTCAGCATGGAAAGTAGATGGCTGGATTCCCACATTGTGCAGCGTGGGTCCCACACTGTGTTTGACCGGACAGTAGTGCTGGGCTCCCAGTGTTTACCCAGTGCTCCTTCTCCCTCTGTCCCCAGAATTCTCTCCAAAAACAAACATTACAAGAAATAATACAACAAGCCACAGAAATCTTTCCATCTCCCAGTGAAATAATTACTCCCACAGGTTCATGCTCCTATCCCAACACAAGTTCAAGACAGGGGAGAAGAGTGGCTGCTCTTGCACAGCAAAGAATGGAGATCCTGCACATGCTTTAAATCCCTGACAATGGCCCTTGGAAAAAGCAAGACCCATCAGGCTTGAATTTCCCTTTCTCAGCTGCGTTCCAAACCAGAAAAGACTAAGTGGATAAGGGAGCCAAGCACACAATTCCCAGCATGAAAAACACACCTAAATTGCCATTCCACAAATGAGGAAGGAATTCAGCTGATTCTGAAGGAGAAAAAGGTTTTTTCCAGCAATTAGTGGATCCTGCCCAGTGCTTAAAGGATGTAAAGGGCACGGCATAAATGGTAGCAGAGAGCTGCTCCATTCAGACCTCATCAACACATCAAAACAGCATCTGTGCTTTGAAATGTACACTCAGGGAGCAAGAGAGTGGCTGGAGGCCCTTGAAGCTTGAAAATACAACAAAAACAACAAAAGAAAACAAACAAAAACAACAACAAAAAAAACCCGACAAAACAACCCAACAACAACAAAAAAAAATCCCAAAAAACATCCCACAATAATCAAAACCCTGCAGCCCTGGAATTAGCTACATCTTGTCAGAGGAATTTTGAAATTGTGCAGCTGTTATCCCACGACTGGAGATGTCCCTTCCCTTCCACTAAAAATACATTCACTACTGCTCCAGACAAACACCCCGCCACACTTCCCCCTCCCTCTTGTCCTTTGGGGATTCCCATGCAAGAAGCTTTACAAGGCTGCAGAACAGCGCTGAACCCAAGCAGCTGCCCAGCTGCAGAGCATTGTGCTGGAGTGCATGTCCATAACACCTTGCTCAATATCTCCCAGGGTCAGGACAGAAAGCTCACAGCATCTGGTGACAAAGCCAATGGCCTTGTGCTGGCCAGGTACCCACTGAGAAGTGTAAATTTGTTTAGGAGAGCTTAATTTCTAGGCTCCACATGAGGCACCTCTGACTGACTTGGCTGAGGTAGCGTTATAGTCCAGATGGGCTTTCCTGGACTCTTTCCTCTCATCCTCTTGGAGATGTCACTGAAGACTTTGTGTAGATCTTTGTGTACTTTGTCTCAGTATCTTTCCAGGCTCGCAGCAGCCAGGCCAGAGCCACTCTCCAGACCCTCAGTGCTTCAGAGCTCTATAGGGTAACTTCAGGGCTTCTCAGACACATCCCCTACCCTGGAGGTTGTTGGCACCATGCAGGAGACACAAAGGGGCTGAAAGGGGCTGGTCACACCTGCAGCCCATGGTCTGCATAGCTGACAGGTGACTTTGCAGCAGGTCTGATGTGTGCAGACACCACTGGATTGTCTGTGCAGCAGCAGTTCTGCTTCCTGGAAATAACACACTTGCTACATAAACAACCACTTCTGCTTGTGAAATTCCAGACACAAAGGATCTGAGTGCAGAGCACAGGGATGCTTGTGGTGGGGATAGAGTCACATGTCTCCTCTAAAAAGCAAACCCAACTTTTGCAAACACATGAAAATGTGAAAGTTTTCCCCAAAATAGTTTCATCTGCCCTGCTGCTCTCCCAGCCACCCAGCTGGCAAAACGGAGGAGGAGAACAGCTGCCCTTGGTGAACGTACAGCTCCTCTGGGCTGCCTAGAGCAACCTGGCTGTGCCACTTCTGGGTCCTTGGACTAAGTTCTGTGCCATGAAGACAAAGACTCCTGCATACAGTCTCTGAGACTGGGTGGGAGACAGAGCTGGTAGTCTGTCCAGAGTGTCTTCAGGCAGAAGTTAAAATCTTTCAATACATTGAGTGATATGCAGCTGGCCTGTCACCATCACAGTGTCCTGCCATCCTGCTGCTTGTCTTCCAAACCCTCCTTTGGTGGACAGCACTGCACATCCTCTGTCAGGTGTGGAGCATTTTTCAGACACTGCATCACCCATAATGCTCAGCTGAGGGCTTTGATCTGAATTCCAGCACTGCTCAAAGCTGTTTAACAAATCACTACAAAACACTGCTCACCAAGCACATCCACCCAGCAGCCCACACCTCAGGCAGCTGCAGCCATCAGGCACAGGACCAAGCAGGATATTCAATCCCTATTACATGTATGTGGAAATGAGAGACCCTGGCAATCCCAGATCATCCAGGAAATCTGTGACAGGGCAAGAAATCAAACTGAGACCTTCACATGTACCAACTAAACAACCTTTCCCAAACCCCTCAGTCTGGAACATTCCTCCTCTATTGCCAGGTACCAACTGATCCTGGTGGTTATCCATGCTATGGAGATGGGGGAGATGGGGTCCCACAGGTGGGCACAGGTGCCCAGCATTATCTCCTCTAAACAGCAGAAGCAGGAATGATGGGCAGACACAGTTCTGTGCGTGACATGATCAGCTTCCTGAATAAAACCTTGGTAACAGCAAGTTCTGTGCAGGCCATGAAGGCACTGCTTTCAAAGCTGTGCCCATTTAAAAGAAGGAGGGGAATTAGTCTGTTCTCACATTAGGTTGAACCTGCCCTAAAGCTATTTAGCATATGAGCATATGTAGGAAATGCCTGCCATTAAGTCAAAAGGTTTATGGTGAGCAGGGAAAGAAATAAGTCCACATATGACTCAAAGTGGCAATAAAACATTAAAACCCTGATTCACTGGTGTAGATGCTCACATATGAGCATTTCAGAAAGGAATCCTGGGGAATTAAAGCAAGTACTGAAACAGGCTGTTCTCAGGACAAAGGTCCCTTGCACATCCTATACTTTATTCAGGGTTGGTGTTCATCTCCCCTATTCTTCCTAGACTTTGAGAAGCCAGTTCTTCATGTCCTCTGGCAGAAAAACATCCCAATGCCACCTCAGAACTGCAGTTTAAATCACCACCACATGGGATAAGTCAGTCCCAAAGCTCCAAACATCAGGGAGCTGCACCTCAACAATGTTTCCCCAGAGAAGCATTGCAGCAGCAAAAGCAGCTTTCAGTGGAGGAAAAGCTGCAGCTGGCACTGCATGACCTACGTGTTTCATGCCTGAATCCACCACAGAGAGCAAGAAGCAACCTCAGTAACCTCAGCAAACGTTTCTGTTTGGCTGCAGGAAGGAAAGTGTTCCCTCACTTTCCAGTTTGTTGGAGCTACCTGTCCTTCCCTGGGAATATCTTTACACAAATGCCTGCACAGGAGCACGTGGCTGGCGCGCTGCCCACGGAGCCCGCGCTGGCACCACGGAGCCTGGAAAGCAGCAATTGTTCCTGGCCCAGGGCTTCATCCTGGGGCTCAGACTCACAGCCAGTTTTGTTCAGAGCACCTGGGGGTTTGATATTAGCCAGCGCAGGTTTTCAGGTACCTGCCATGTGAGAGACCTCATTTTGTCCTAGACTGAACAATGGCTCGGGCACCCTTCCTTGGCAGTGCCTTACTGCCACTTGCAGAGTGTTACATTTGTATAAAACTTGGCAGAATTCAGCAAAGTGCTTGAGAACTTGTGGAAAATTGTCCAAATTCTATAAAACCTTTCCATTGTTTGAAAAGCAGAACACATAAGATATTCACAAATTATCCATTTTAAAATTTCACCTACAAATATCTATTTTCATTGCAGTTTTTTTGGAGGAGGGTATCTTCTCCACAGAAAATAATTTCAAAGGTAACTAGTAATGTACTGAGGGATCCAAAATCAAGTAGTATCAGAAAACACACTCTTCTGCTTTCTTAATACTGACAGTTTATTTCTGGTGGAATACACATCCACATATGGAGTTATCTTCATTAGGACAAATCAGACATGAACTATTTAAAGAGAAACAGAAGAATAAAGCACAGGTTTGGCCCTTTTTGGTTCCCCTAGACTAAAGGGAGTCTGGTTTATTAATGACTCAACTAATGAGTATTAGGAATACCTGCTGGTACCTTTCATGTTCTGTGAGGAGAAGGGGCCTTCCCAGATATTAAAGGATGAGGTGAAAACAACACACTGTTAGTGGTAGAACTTTCCTTCAAATTGTTTGACCCATTTTTGAGACAAACAGCTATTAGAAAAATAAAAAATGTGAGGATGTGGGCAATCTAAATTATACCACATTTCCCTCTTCAGAAAATCAGCTTTCACTTTCTCAGCATGTCTGAGGCTATAAATGCTTATTCATCCATAAATTCTAAAGGGGAAACACAATTGACAAGTGCATCACTCCTGCTGTGAAAGGACAAACCAGCAGAGGACAGAGAGGAGGAGAAACCCATGGATTTACCTGTGGGTTTCTACATCCAATCAGTCCCTCTGTTCCTGGGGCGGAAGAGGGTGTGCTCTGTTTTTTCCAAAACATGATAGTGAAACCGGTGTCATGCCCAGCACTAATGTACTCTGGTTTTTTGAAAAGACTCTTTACCTTGGCTGCTCCAGGAAATTACATTTTCAAGACAATATAGTTACAGTGATAGCCCAAAACGTGGGCAGAAATCCAGATTTTTAAAATCCCTTTCCTGGCAAGTCATCCTCTAGCAATAAGAGTGCTTAAACTGTCAGCAGACATCTTCAGAGTTACCTTGTGAGAGATGAAATCAAGACATCAGCCCTTCTCAAAACCATTGCAGAGGCAGCTCCCAGGGGCTACTCAACATATTTCCTTGTACCATTTATCATTATTTTGATTTATATACTGAAATAATCTATAGCAGAACTGTAGAAAAATGGAGACAGGCCAGATTGTAGGTAACTATTATCAACAGAGTTTTCTCTGCAATGGAATGGAACAGTTGCTCCTTACATCTACATCAAAACTAGAGGCTGTAACAGGTATGACCAACAGGGTTTGGCAACGACCCATTAAAGGCAATGTTATAGCAGAACAAACTTGCTGAGGCAAGGCTTCAGGAAAGACTTGGCTGCACTGGTCCACATGGAAAGGCAATTTCCGCTCTCCAGGGCTCCCATTCTAGTTTTGAACAGGAGGTTTGTGTTAATTGACATAAGTGCTGCATGACCAAAGTACTCAGAAGAGACAGAACTAAATTGTACAGATCAGCAAAAGTGATTTAAGCTCAAGAAGAGTGAGGATGTCCAAAAACTCAAACTCAAGAGCACAAAAATCAGAAATCGGTTCCATTTTTGCAGCCACATTGGTTGTTCAGGAGATGAAGGCGGTCTCTCCTTTCCTGAGAGCATGCTGCATCCTCCTAAGGACCAGACAGGAAGGAAGGAGACTCCTACAGCTCTCCTGCAGCAGCCTCTGCAGGGGCTTCCTCTCCTTCTCTGGAGCTCAGCGAGTGCCTCGGAGCAGTGGCAGCAACGCGGCCCTGCCTCGTGCCCACGGGCACACAGAGCCCATCACAGCCATGTGCTCCTGCCAAACTGAACTGAGCAGCAGCCCCTGTGTGTGTGACAAAACTTCCCCTTCTCCCATGTCAGCCTCCCTGGTCCCACACCAAGTAGCAGCCAGTCTTAGTCATTAAAACGTCCTTTTCTTTCTTCAAGCTGCAGAGACCACAAAATCCCCATCTGCAGGTGTGGGCTGGGACAAGCCTCCACCTCGACCCAGCCTATGCTGTGGTTCCAGAGGTAGTGCCTGACCCAGTCCAAATCCTCCTAAGGCCCATTTCTTGGCAGCCTGCTGCTTCCTCTCCCTTCACATTTAAGAGACCCCTGAGAGAAAACCCCACCTCCCTTCCCCCCTGCTGCTCCAGCTTCAGGCAGAGCCCCCCTCCTCCCCACGGGAGGGGGACAAGCTGATCTCACTCCCTTTCTGCCCTCCACCATCCTTCTGGTGGCACTGGCTGCAGCCCAGGGCACAGTTTGCCTAGGTATGGAGTGGCAGCTCCCAGGCAGCACTTGTGTGATGCCATGGACACCCACCACAGTAGAACAGAGAAGCACAGGAAAAGGAAGCAACCAGAAAGTCCACCAGCCAAGACGGACTTTAGGACCTAGAAAAGCTGCTTTCAAAACACATGAGAGAAAGCATCGATCCTCATTTAACTTTTCCTTCCTTGATTCATCTCCAGACCTGTGGTTTTTAGGGATGTTGAGCCCTCACCAGCCCAGCCCAGCCCGTGCTTACCTGAGGGGTATTCGGATGGCAATGATTCTGTCGATGGCGATAGCAAGGAGGCTGAAGATGGAGCTCTGAGTCAAGACCAGGACAAAGCAGGCAATGAAAAGGCAGCCATAGAAGAAGGCACAGAAGCCAGTGCTGATGGTGATGGCAAAGGGGATTGCCAGCACCCCCACGGCAATGTCAGCAGCGGCCAGGGACACCACAAAATAGTTGGTGACGTTCTGCAGGTTGCTGTTCAGATAGACGGCCCAGCAGACCAGGATGTTGCCCAGGATGGCCAGCACGGCGATGATCAGCTCCAGGATGATGTAGGCTATGTCTGAGAGGAAGTCGTCCTTCCCATGTACTAGCATGGTGAGAACAACCAGGCCCAAAGCTCAGCGTTCATATCTGCAGAGCACTGAACAGCCAGGACCCCTCAAAGCTGCCTGGGCTCCATGGAGGGCTCGGCTGCCAGCCTGGGAAGGCTGCTCACACACACATTCTTCTCCCCATAGCTGTTCAAGGACTTTACAGTAGATGGTGCCAAGAAAAAAAGCCCAGGGTTTGCTGGCTCCAGCAAAGTGGATTAACCAGGTGCAGAATAATTCAGACTCCAGCAGATAAACAGACAGGAGGATCTCTCTTGGGGACTGACAGTGCTCCCCAGGCCTCAGAGTCCAGCAGGCAGCGCAGCACAGCAGCTGTACCGTACAGCAGTGCCACATTGGCTGCGGTGCTTTGTTTCCTGTTGACAATCCCCCTTCTAGTCATGGCTTCCTGTCATCTCCATATCATAGCAACATCCTCTGGTCCTCTTTTTCACCTTTTCCCACCAGGACTTGGGAAATATTCTCTTCAGCTGAAGCAAACATTAAACTTCTTCACTTGCAGTTTCCTCTAAAAAGAAAAGAAAACACCAACCACATACACTAAGTAATCAGCTCTACAGAGGAGATGGAGAAAGCAAAATCTCATTAAAGTGGCACATTAAATTGATAACGGATATTACACAGACCTAGAAGAATACATTATTGGCAAAATTCTCACATTTTGTCTATCCTGAAAGCTGCAGGGCCAAACCCAAGTTCAGGAAGGCAGCATTTCACAGTGGTGATGAGAAACAAGGGACGTTTTGTTTTCAAGGCTACCAACTGAGCTGGCACTTCAGCAGCTGCTCCACAGCCCGCCCTGAAACACGAGAGCCCCACTAATTATGTCCTGGCAAGTGCTGAGGCTGCACAGAGGAAAGGTGGAGGAGCCTTTCACACACACCTGTCTCCCTCTGATGGCAAACACCGGGTTTGGGCCATCACGTGCTTTGCCACAAAACTGCTGCACCAGTACCCTGCTCTGCAAGGACAGGAGCCCTCGTTCACAGGGCAGCTACGCTGCTGGCATGTGTGGTCACCCCTCTGTGGCCACACCTGTCTGGCCTCCAGGTATCCATGGAACAAGATCCATGGCAGGGAGAAGTGTTCAAGGTGTTCAGACAGGGACATCTTTGAGGACTCCTGCTGACCACACACACTCTTTGCAAGGGTCTCTGCAGGTTCTCCTCCTGCACCTCCCTTGTTTTTGTTCATGTAAATCTGAATCCTGTAAACAAACCATTTATTCATTATAGCTGCATTGTCCATGGTGTTTGTTGCATCCAGGACAGCATCATCCTTCACCGACAAGCAGCCAGAACCAGGCCCACCAAAACACATCTCTCCCAGAAATACACACAGAGGCAGAGTGCCAGTGCCATGGCTCAGGGCTGCACTGAGCTCCTGCAGTGTCCTGCACACAGCCTGGGACTAAAGCTGGTGCTGCTTGTGAGGAAACAATCCTGCAGCTGCATTTCATACGAGCAGATACACATCACCTGCACGCCCTTGCAGGTCACCTCGTACCTCTGCTTCAGATATGGGTTCATTTCACCACGGTTTCAGCTAAAAATACAGAAGGGAGAACACAATTCCCTGAGCTTTGTGCCACAGTCAAGAGATAATTGCTTGCTGTCCTCGCCTGTCACTTCCAGAGTGGGTTGCAAACCTTATTTAGCAAGCTTTCGCAATAATATTTTCTCATTAATTTAAGAAACAGCTTGATACATCAGAGGGTTAGGAGAGAGAGAAACACAGCACTAACTGGTAAATCACCCAGCTCAGTTTTGGATGCAACATGAACCTTCAAAACACAAGACCCATCCACAGGTGATGTGGCATGGTCTCACCCATCAGGGTTCGATGCCTTCACAGTTCATTCTGTTTTCAAGTCAGAAACCTAATTTCTCAGGGTAAAATAAAAGGGTAAAGACAGTGATAATAAAAGAAAATATGATTAACTTGTGATTCACATCTGATCTCAGGAATATAATCTAATTTTAGACCTTTCATTGATTTAGAGCTCTATTGCTAATGCTGCATTTGAAAGGAAAGTGAATGATTCTTGGTGGTTTGGACATGCTTCAAAACCCTTGCTTTTCTCTACCCTCAGCTATCTTGTTTCTGTGTTTTGTTTGGTTTTAGCAGAAGAAATCAACAGAAGAGATCAGTGTGTGATCTAGCTACTAAGAGGAAGATAAAGATCATCCATTTAATCTTTTTTAAACAAGAAAAACCCCAAGAAGTCTCTATATTTTCTCTGCTCCTACAGCAAAACCTCCAGTTTTTCAGTGGCTTCCTAAAGATGGCTTTTACTTTCTTGGATTTCAGGGATGTCAGTGATATGCCCCTGCAAGGATCTGCTTGTCTATTACAAATCCCAACAGGTTTGTTTCAAAGCAGCAATACTGAAACTTCACCCTCCAGCCCAGCTTCCAGGGAAGAAGATTAGAATGAATATAAGACAGAAATAAAGAAGATCTGGAGGCAGAGAGAACAGAAGGGGCAGGATGAGAAATAAACAGTGTTTTGTGCATGTGTGTGAGCAAGAAGGGAGGAAAAAAAAAACAGGAAAAAGCTGGTAGGAGGAAAAAAACAACCTAACAAAGGAAGCAGTGGGCAAAACAGGCTCCTAAGAGGAAGGGGGGTGCAGGACATGGCTGTGCCTGAGACTGAGGTGGGTGTGAGCCCCTGAGTCCCTCCGCAGGACAGAGTGGGAGCACACACCTCCCACAGGCTCACTCCTCACCCTGCAGGACAAGAGCACATCAAACTCCAGTGCCAGGCCAAGTTTAGAAAAATTTAACAAATTACTCTGACATGCTTTGGGCCCAAACTACTGCTAAACCCACTATAATTCCCCACAAGCTCCTCTGAGATGGAGTCAGAAGAACTGAGGGAAGCCCTGTTAGAGAGGAGCCAGCCTGAGAACTGGGCACCTTCATCTTGATGCTCAGAGGATTTACCTAAAGTCCTGCTATGTTGCTCTTGCCCATCATGTTCACAGCTCATACACTTCAGTGAAGAAGATCAAAGCAAAATTACTGGATATTCTTCCCCATTGGAGAGCTCCCTTCAGTAGGATCACAAATCCATACTAACCCTAGATGCATTTTGTTTAACCTGACTCTGCCCACCTCAAATCCCAGCAGGACATGGAGGAAAGTTACAGATTCACTGTGGAACTTCTGCACATACCAACGGCTCAGCACAAAGCTGAAATTTCCTACACCTCTGCCTGAACCTGAAAAAGCACAGTGCTGGAACCTGAAGTTTAATGGCTACATCACACGCTGTTCTCTGACACAACAGAGCTTTTAACCTTCTACTTTGCTCCTTCATGGCCTCATGTTAAATTTGAGTTTTTTTATCTCTGAATTTGTTTCTTGCTTCCATCTCTCCACACAAACAGTGGCCTGATTCTTCATCCCAAGCCCCAGTCATTTATTCTGAAGCAATGGGAACGTTATGTCCAGAAAAGGACAGCCTGTCCTTCCACCCTCTGCTCTCAGATGGGCCGGAAAACACTCGGAGTTCTGCAGAGCCAGCACATCTCAGGGGAGAAATGGCTGGAGCTGAGCAGGTGTCCCAGCCACGACAAAACAACATTTTGTCTCTGCTTCAGCGCCGCTGAGTAGCCACTGACATGAGAAAAACCAATTACTGGCCACACAAGCCCAGCCTCACCTGCTGCTGACAGAACGTGCCGCAGCCCGGGAGGGTTCATGTTCAACCTGAGCTCAGCCACCTCTCCTCATTCCTCTCTCACAGTGTCAGCTGCTGTAGTGCTCACCTGACATAACAAATCTCCATTTCAGGAGTATGTGCAACTTGTTTTAAAACAAGAACAGGCCCAGTCTTTCTGCTTATACAGCTAGAAATTCACTGCACAGGGACAAAATGAAATAGAGACCACCCAGAGATGATGACGTAGATCCAGAGGCAAAATTAAATTTATTGTAGAATTGTCTACTTCATGCAAGACCCAAAGGCTCAGCAATCAGGTCTAATAAGAAAAAATTAATTAACAATCTGCTTTACTCACTGGGGAAGTGTATATTTAACATCTCAAGCCCTTGAGGGATCAGCATGGCAAGCTTCTTGAAACTTAAGAAAAATAACATGTATCACCCAACAGGCTGGACAGCTACAATTAGTATTTCTTCATAAGCCCTTCTTTTATTTTGTTAATTCCTCCTTGATACCCCGAGCTATGTTCCGGCCTTTCCCCCATTATTAAATAAACCTTTTTTGTCATTCACAAACCTGTAAACCTGCTGCTCTGTTCATTTGTAGTGACTTGGAACACTCTGTTCTCTCTCATATTTCAATCCCAATGAGAAACTCCTCCTTGAAAATTCAATAAAGCATCTGCACAGCACGTTCCCATGAAGCAATTCACCAGCAGAGCCTAAGCAAGCTTTAGTTTGGCATCTCCAGTTGACTTTGGACCAAGGTGCTGCCCTTCTCTCTCCTGAGTGCCAAAAGCATCGAGCTGAGCCCTTGGCCACTGCTTGGTTCAAATCACCCAGCTCAGACAAGCTCATCTGCTGTCTTGGCCCCTGCAGGCTGAGCCCATCCTGCTCTGGGAGGTTTGGGTTGCCCAGGCTCTGTCAGCTGGGACGGAGCAGATGCCCCTCGGTGCCTGCCAGCCTCACCGTGCCTGCGACACTTCAGCTTGACAGCTCCTCTCACCTATTAGCAAAAAGCCCAGATGATCAGCAGCCCTTAGGGCACTCAAGACAGTCTGTGGGCACGTAGGTGACACACTGCAGCTTCCCCTGGCCCCAGAGGGGCTGCGTTCTGTGTCTGCTCTAGGATGGGGCAGAGAGGCAGCAGGCAGCTTAAGGGGGCCAGGGCGGTGTTCATCAGGGCTCATTCTACAGATCACAGTCTTGCATCTCCTTCTGACATGACCCTTCCCAGGTACCAGCCACATGCAGATTACCTAATTCCCTTAGGGAAAATCCTTGAATTCACAGATGGCCCTAAGCAGAAAAATTGGTGCTGCTAAATCATTTGTTTCCTACTTTCCAAAGCCTGGAGGGGGAGATGCTTGTCAGTTTTTATCCTCTCTTTGAAATCCCTTCAGCTCAAAGAGAATCTCCCTATCTTTTAAATCAAAGACTCCAAGAAATCTTGTCTCTCCCCACCACTTCAGAGGATAAAGTCACAATAAACGAGCCAATGTGCTCACAGGCAGAACACAAATTTGCAAAACAACCAGGGCTGTAAAACATAATGAAAACAGGTGTCCTTTGGGGAGCTCAATAGGGAAGGCAGCAGGAGCACTTCTCTGTGCTGCTCAAGGGTTTTCTTTCTGTAGTTCAGTATTTTATGAATACTTCACGTACCGCAGCTTCCTGGGTCCCTGAGTGCTCACACACAGCTGTGGGGAGCATCCCCAGCCCTGCTCCCAGGGAAGGATGAAGAGCTGTGGCTGGGTGGGGCAGGAAAGAGGAGGAAAGAGGCATCACCCACCTAACCAAGACATACACTTTCTGATTCCTCTCTTTGCTTTACTATTGGCTGCTGCCTAAATGATCTTTTAGGTCATCTGCTTACAGTAATAGGAGGAAATTAAATATTAATAATAGACTATTTCCCTCTAGACTGCTCTTTGTTAACAAAGGATACAAGTGAAACAAAGCAGGCAAAATTATCAGCACACCATGGTCTTGGTTTTCAGGTACCTGGAGCATTTGCACTTTCCCTCAGCCCTCCCTGGTGGCCCTTGCCTGCCTGCATGGACACCACTGCAAGTGCAGAACATGGGCAGGTGTGGAAATTTGTGTTCTACCAAGGGGCTCCACATGCCAGTCTGACCCTTCCAGGCACTATTTCAGATTTGATCCAAAACGTCATCTGAGCCATTGATGCTCTGACTGCAAAAATGCGAGGCTAAGGACTTTTGGAAGCACAGACTTTGTCTCCTCTTGGGAAGTGAAGTCTGCTGTAATATAAACCTACAGTGGGGTAATGAGCTTTCTGGATAGGTTTTGCAAGTTCTCCTGAAATAATAAGTAAAATGAGAGCTTCAGCTTTGCTAAATTTGGTGTAATCCCCTCTTACAGGAAAGCAACAGCCCTCCAAGACTTAAAACCTTCCCTTCACGTACTTGTGAAAGGCAGAAGAAATGGCTCTTCAGAGACCTGTACTGTGCCTGAACTTTGTCTATCAGTTTAAAAATGGGAAAGAAGGGCAACAATTCTGTTTTACATTTCCATCCCTGCTGCAGTCCAGGCCAAGAAAGGAGGATGTGCTCCAGCAACAAGCATGGTGAACCTGGGTGTAAAGTCTTGACTGATTTACCAGAGATACCCAGACTGCTGCATCAGTGACAGCAGACAAAACCACACCCTGCCAGCCTGTCCTGTGCCTCTCTTCTCCTCCTGTTTATGCCCATTAAGAAAAAAACTAAAAAACAAAACTGCCCCAAAAGTGAAATCCCACTGGAAAACAAGCAAGAGGGACGGGCTAACAGGAATGGCAAATCCCAAACCACTATTGCAGCTTTGCCTCCTGCCCTCCAAGTGCTAGAAGTGGATTAATTTTTATTGTGGTAGCGGAAGATTAGAACAGAACACATTTGACCATATTTTTTTCCTAAGTGGATGTTATAAATGTTTAAAAGCAAGGAAAAAACCTCACAGTAATTATTCTAATTCTAATGGTCACAAAAGCCAAGGAGGGCAAAACTAAGTAAGGATGAATGACCAGCAGTTAAATAAGCCAGACCAAACAAACAGAAGGGAAAACAGCTCCCCTGTGCTCCCCAAAGTCTCGCTGGGCAGCAGGCATCATGATATATTGCCAAAAGACACCAAAACATCGGATTTTTTAGCAAATTTTTTGTACTCGGGATGGCTGATGTTAATTTATCTATGTGGAGTTTCTTAAAAAAAAAAAAAAAAAAAATAGAGCATTTGGATAGGCTTTCATAAGGCAGACAAGTAAAAAAAGCATAATTAAAACCATGTACCATGGCCAGAAACAAGTTACTACTGCCAATATCATCCACAATGTCTCTGAGGAGCCAGCTTTCCTTTCCTGTGTGAGGGAAGAACTCAAAGGCAAACTCTGCCTCCTCACAGCCCTACTAAAGCCAGCTGTGTTCACACATGAGGAGAATTTCCTTCAAGGACAAAATAAGAGAAATGAGGGAACAGAATATAAAGAAGTGACCCACTGAGGAATACAGGCAAGGGAAGAATTTACTCTGAAGATATTTATCATATTGCTAATGCATCCATTCTGGTCTATTTTAAAATAATGGAGCAGACTTCTCTCCAGATGTGACTTTGCCTCTCACTCTGAATGAAGTTTCCAGACAGGCAGTTGAGAATTGGGTACATCTGTTAGTTTTCTTGCATGTTTATCCAGTTATTCCCAAACCCTATTTGCCTTCTCTAAGTGCAGGTTACCTCTCCACCATGTCCCGTGATCCCTGCTCTGTTCCCTGGAGCACTGTCCTGCAGGCTGCCAGGAGCGTTTGCACAAACTCTGATGGTGAAACAAAAACTCACCCCAGAGCGGGTAGAGCTGTTGTAGCAGGTCAACCAACATCCTTCCACAGCAGAAAGAATGTAGCTCTTACTATCTCTCTCCATGTAATTAAAAAGGTTCCCCAGCTGTCCTTCCCTGTCCTGATGAAAGCATTGTACCACACTGATCATCCCAACAGCAGGTAAAAGCCACAATAACAAATTTTCTGTCCCCTGAGTTTGTTTCCAGCAGTTTTCCCTCATCCATTTTGTAAGGTACTCTGACTGCTAATGCTTATTTGCTCGGTGTCAGCCTCACCATCCTGGCAGTGCTTCTGTCACAGCCTCAGAGCTATTTAAGACATTTTCAGGACTCTGCTACCCTCTGTGGATAAGGAGTCGACGCTCTGATGATGCCCCGAGGCCGCACGCCCTCACTTTGTCATTCTCTGTGCTGTGACCTGCAGCACACTGCTGTCACCTTGTGAGGTGACCTGCACTTCCACCATCACAGCCAGCCACACCGACACTGGAGGTACTCAAAGGGACTGGGTTTTTCCCCAAGTCCTTGATTATATCCGATTGATTAAGAACTATCCAAGGTCACAGTTCCTGACGCAGGGTCAGTGCGGTGCTGTGAGGACTCCCCAGCCCCCCTGTCGTGTCCCAGCCCCTCGCTGCGGTCGGAGCGCATCCGCCCCGCGCCGCTCCCGCTTCCTGCTCCGGCCGGGCTGCGGGCAGCGCAGCGCTGCTGGGAAACGGCACTTCTCACCAGCGAGCTCTGTCCTCCTGCACCGAGACACCGCACTGGAGAACCAGCAGCCGCTCATAAATCACTTCAGAAAACAGTTTCCTGCATTTGCTGGCTGTTGATGAGATGCTGTTCTTGTCCAGAGGGAGAGGGAGAGGGAGAGGAGAGGAGAGGAGAGGAGTCAGGACTCCATCACACCAGAGATCCCTCCACCAGCCTTGGCAAGTGGCCCTTCTGTCCTGTGAAAACTTTAGATATTTTACAGTCTCTGCACAACAAGACATCATAGAAAAGGTCCATCTGTAAAGAATCCTTCGATCATTTCTCAAATGCATGACAACCGTGATCCTCACACCTTTCCAAACAAGGATAAACCAAAAAAGACGCCCAAGGCGAATTCCTTAGGGACTGTGACATTTGACTCCAAACACAAAAGATGTTAGTCAGGCAGAGATGGATCCTGGGGGAGCTCTCAGAACAGATACCCCAAGCCTTTAGGATGGTTTGTCCCACGTGCCCTGTGTCCATCCCTTGCCTGCTGTAATCATACAGCTGGGCTGTAGGGTGGCTACAAGGAGGAAAAGGAAGGTTTCCCTTTAGGTATGGGGTAGGAAAGTTAACAAGAACCCCAAATGAATCATAATGGTCAAGCAAAGTTTGCATCAACATTTCATGAGACACGGGATGACGTAAAAGAAAGTATTAATGTTTTTCAGGTGTCTGACAAAGTTAGGTGCCTCAGTTTTAAAAGGTCTGCTAAAGAGGCCTGCATTTTGGGACTATCAGGAACAGTCCCAGATTATCCCTGACTAGGCAGCCATCAGCAAGGGTCATTCTTTTGCCAAAATCTGGGCTGCAAAACATTTTACAAATTTTTTAAATGTCAGTGTGCTTCCCCACACATGCTCCAGGAGCTGTAATGGTGCTGGTGCCAGCCCAGGTCAGCCTATGTGATTTTCCACCATCCCATTGAACCTGGGCACTGATCTGTGGATTGGACGTATGTGGAAACTGCAATTATTCAAATCAATTTCAATCACGTGCCTCTCTTCTGAAGATTTTAGTAAAAAGCCCCATACCTCTTAGCTGTCTTTTATCCAGGGGAATGTTTCCTATGGAAAATCCCAGTCTGTGCCCAAGTATATGGATCTCATACTGAAACCAAAGTTGTTATGATCAGGGAATATGACATTTAACCACCTACTTCCCTTAAGTCCTTAAGCTCAACAGCTGATTCATACCAGGATCTGACAATCCTGTTCTATTGGGGAAAACTCAATAACCAAAATGATAGGGCTGTTTGTAGAGGACTTTCCCAGTAAAAGAAGGGGAATTTGCATAAGAGGCCACTATTAGAGAACAGGCAGAGAGAGCACAAACATTTATGCTGCCCTAGTTAGGAAAAATAAGGGGGGGGGGGGGGGGGGAAGGGGAGACAAGCAAGAGGAGAACACGACAGCGCAAACCCAAACCAAAACATCTCCAACAAAGCCAATCCAGGAGAAAAACAGAGGAGACTCTGAGGTCTGAATACTAAATGAGGAAACTTCTAACAGGGAAAACTGCAAAGCTCACCATTCCCGAAGGGATGCGTTAAAAGCTCGCCCTTGGCTCCGCTCAGCAGCCGGGTGAGGGGCTGCCCTGCCCGGGAGATGCTCGGACGGGACCCCGCGGCTCGGGCTGGCTTCCCGAGGCTCCAGCAGCCAAGCCCCCCGGGGAGCTGCGGAACAAGGGCCACGGCAGGAGCTGGGAGCACAGGCAGCGGGCACAGGGACACCGGGAATGCCGTATCGCAGCCTGCCGCAGATGGAACAGCCCCAGGCTGCAAGGACGAGCGTGCCGGTGCCTTCCCCCTGGAACTGGGAGCAATCACAAATGCTAATCGACACACAGACAGGAGCCCAGCATGTCACCCGTCACGTCTCCAAGGCTCCAGGAAAACCCCCCTTTCCTCTCCTTGTATCACAGAGGGACAGGAAGATTCCCTCACCCCGGCGTGCCTTTCCCTCCCCCTGTCCCTGGCTCAAATCACCCCTGCAAGAAGTTTCCCTCCCTGCTAACTTCTCCATTGTCTCAGATGCATTGTTTGCAAATGTTCTCTAAAAATGCTTTGTAAAGTATTCTTTATTCCCGTTTCAAGTCTTTCCACATCCCTGTGTAACACCTGGACTTTATCTTGTTACCTGTCAGACAGTGATAAACCTACTGCACGCAACCCCTGACTTACCGTCTAAGATAAATACAATTTGTCTTGTAGCTGTCATTTCTTTTCAAACCCTGCCTTCCACAGCTGCCTTTGTAGTGGTAATAAAATTACTTTATTTGGGTTTGAAATGCGTAACTTTTAAAGAAATAAAAAAGTAAAAATCCCCATCAGCAAGAGCCCCAGGACCCAGGATGAGGAACGAAAGAGATCACACCTGTACCCACTCACATTTACCAAACGCCTGCATTTGGTGAAGTGTTTTGAAATACTCTTTGCTGATTGCCTGTGAGTTGCCCACTGTGGCCAGGATGAAGAATGAGTTAGAGCAAAGGAGGTTTAAGCTGGACATCAGGGTATTTCCTGCACACCAGGAAAGTGAGGAGTCTCCACTGCTGGTCTTTAGGAGCAGGATGGAGAAAGATGTCAGGAATGGCAAATCCATAGCTGATCCTGCCTTTGGGCAGAGGTCTGGATTAGACGACCTTCAAGTGCCTCCTAAGGATATTTTCCATAATTGAGAATTGTATGTGCCATCTGTCCATTCTGATCTACAGAGATCTACTGCAGGGGAAAAAAAGTGCAATACAACCAAAATTATCCCTGATACAGATGCAACCTTTGTGAAGGGAGAGGCATCTTCTGACTGTGGGAGGAACTGAAGCCTCCAGAGGTTAAATCACCTTCTGTGCATCTCCCAGACCCTCCTGCCCTCCCGAGACAGAAAGTTGCCAGTTCTTCACCCCTAAGAGTCCAACCCTCCATATTCAACCACAAAAGCATCTCATTAAGTGGCGGCTTCCTCAGCATTTTCGAAACGAGCAGAGAGGCAAGGAACTGGTGCTGTTTTGTTCAAGCAGCTTTAGCAAGGCTGTTCAGGTGCACTGTGCAAAACCTGCAGATGGTCCACGAAGCAACCAAACCTTCTGGTCCTAAATACCAGATATCCTGATAAAAGGGAACAACGCTCCATTGACTTGTGAGGTTCTTCTCTGATTCCTTGACACACAGCTCAAGATCTCTTTCCTGGTTTTTACTTTAAAGTCCAACAAAAAAAGTGTTTAATAGCCCATCTCCATTTTCAGATGGAAATAACACAATAAAGAATGACACTGGGAGTTAATCACAATCCAGATCAAATGAGAAAATGAACAAGCAGAGCCAGAATCTGTTCGAGCTGAAGACAAGGACAAACTTTGCAGGACACCAAGAGAGATACTGGCACCAGCCTTTGCATGGAGAACACCTCACTCCCAGCTGTGCAGAACTCAGAGACTTTCCCCACAATGTGCCTTGTCCCATCTCACGTGGGCAGAAATGTCAAACCCCAGTGAGGAGCTGAAGCACAGTGAAAATGGTGAGAAATCTGTGAGACCTTAAACATCCTGTGCAGACAAGAAATCATACAGCCATCAGTCAGCCAGGCAGAAAGGAAGTGGTAAGGGGAGAGGCTTTCCCTCAACACAAGATGGAAAAGCAGCCAGGTTCAAAACCAAGGGGGGAACAGACCCTTCTGAGGACTGAAAGGAAGAGTAAAGATTCCCCCCAAACCTTCTGGAGGGCTGAGCTTTTCCCAGTCATTCTCAGGAGAACTTAAGCACACAGCTCTACCTGAAATCCGTCAGTGAAGATTAAACAAAACCGATGAAGAGCTTTCAAAAGTTGATTATATTCAAATGAAACAGCAGCAGCAGCCCTTATGGAAACATCCTATTAAAATACCAGCAAAAACAGAAATGCAAGCATGGGAGACCTGGCAGAGGCTTTCCAGCTCAGACCTTTAGTGCCTTTTGCACCCACTGATAGAAGGAGAGAGGCTAAAACATCATTATTGCCTTGACCTGGCAGAGGGTGATGCTGGTTCTATTTTTCATGTATAAAAATACATACAGAAAGACACAGATTATATACACATGAAAATTACAAATGTACCACATGGTCACCATTTAAAAGGAGACCTGCCTGTCTTTTTTTTTTTTTTCACACCCTGCAATAGGTCGTTTTTATTTTATGTACACACATACATGTTTGCAGTTTGTACCCACATGTTTTCTCTACAAATTCAGAGGTTCACAGCTTTCCTTGTTAATTCAGAATTTAATCCATTTGCCACATTAGACAGGATTTCGTTTCCATAGGTTTTTGTGGTACATGATTACATTTTTATTGACTTTTTTATTGAGATTCAAAATAAAGTATTTCCTCAACAGACCTAATCCAATTTAAATATTTCTCACATCCTTGCTGGTCATTTTATCTAATCTTTTTCTACCTCACTTGGGCAATATGCTCCAGGGGTGTCTCTAACTGCAGGGGCTGGCCAGGCTTTCTCTCTCTCTGTTAGTTTCCTTCATGCAGAAGAATGAAATTATCAATTACTCCATTTCTTGAGTTACATGTGCCTGAGACTTACAAGCCTGATAAGAAACCTGAAAACAAATACATCCTAAGACAGAGTTATCTAATAGTTGGCCATCTGCTTAGGAAAATCATTTTAAGTAGTTACAGCAATTCTATTAACTATTTACCAAGTGAGTCATGTTGTTCTCTTTAAGTTAACCCTTCCTGTCTCTGCGGGCTCAGAGCCCAGGCAGTTTTAAGGTGCTCAACCACCTTCCCTCCCTTCAGGCCATGGCAAAGCCTGCAGCCCCCCTGCACTCGAGATCCCCCAAACTCACAGTCCAGGGCACAAAAGAGCAATAAAGCAGCCGTGACTCTTAAACCACACAAACGACCATGCAGAAATCTCCTCCCGGGAGCATCCCCGGCGAGGGCACCGCGCACCAGCCCCGACACCGCGGGATGGGAACGCACCTGCTGCCTCGGGCACTCCGTGGGGGCAGGTCAGCCCAGGGCAGGGCAACACCCCGCACCCACATCCTGCCGACAGCTCCGGAGACAGCCCCAGCTCGCAGGGCAGCCTGTCTGCCCGCCCTTCACTGCCCTCTGCCCCGCACGGGGCACAGGCCCCTCCGGGAGGAGCGGCTCCATCGCGGGTGCCGAGGCTGAGCGCTCCCGGGCAAGGGAAAGGAGCTCTGCTGAGGAACTTTCAGCTGCTCGGCAGAGATAAGGCAGAGCTGGGGCTTCTGGGGGCAAGCAATGGGACAAGACCGCACAGGTCTGAAGCCATCTATTCAGACCCTGAATAGAAGCCCATCTTTTCCCTTTAACACGACTGTGAAGCGGATGGAAATCTCCTTTGAAAGCACTACAGAGAAGTTCGCAGGATGAAGCGTGCTACCCTAGAATCACTATTTTATGATTAAGCACAAATATCTGCTGGAAGGCCGAGGAGGGGTGGGTGCAGGGAGGCAAAGTCCAGCACCTGATGTTTGAGGGAAGATCCGCGGAGCAAACATCTTGGAGCGCGGGGGTGTGTCGGGGGACTGACAGTCGGGAACCAGCACAGTCGGAGTGAAACGCACCGGCTCCACGGGGAAACACCGTCCGAGCCGGGGTACCGGGGCAGGAGAAAGCGGCAGCAGGGCAAAATCGCCCCGTCTTGGGGCTGGGGGCTCGGCTGCACCGAGAGGGCAGCGGGCGGCCACTTTTCAAATTCGCGGGATAGGCAGGACAGAGACCGCGGCTGCCGCGGACGCCGTGAGGGAAACCGAGCCGCGCACGGCGGCTGCCGGGGCCGGGACCGCGCCGCGCTCGGGATGCTCCGGCGGGACGAGCCCCGCAGCCCGCCCCGGCCGGGAGGTCCCGCTCCGCCCCGGGAGCTGCACCCCGGGCCCCGCCGCCCCTCCCCGCGGCCCGCCGGCCTCACCCACCTGGCTTCGGGGACCGCTGCCTCCGGCCGCGCCCGGAGCCGTGTGGCGGTGCCGGCGCTGCCCCGCTCCGCTCCCGCCTCCGCGCAGGACGCGGCCGCCGCGGCTCCCCCTGCAGGGCGGCGCGGGGCGGGCGCGGCCGCGGGAACGGCACCGGGACCGGCACCGGGAACGGCTCCCGGCCCCGCGGGATGGGTGCCCGGCAGCTCCGCAGCTTTACCTGGCGGCCGGCGGCGACCCGGCACCGACACGGCCAGCCCGGAGAGCATCCCCGCAGCGGGGCCGCAGGAGAGAGGGAACTTACTTGAGAGTCCTGGCTTGTCGTGAGGGACCTGCGAGTGACAGCAGCGCGCTTTGACTGGACTCGATCTGCATACAATGAAAGGAGGAAAGAAAGGAGAGGAGAGGGAAAAGGGAAGGGAAAAGGAGAGGGGAGAGGGCAGAGGGGAGGAGAGGAGAGGAGGGCTTTCTCACTACATTATTTTAAGCATCTACTTCTTTCCAGGCTGGAAAACCCACCCAGCAAGTCGAAGCCTGCAGCTGTAGCACACGGGGCTGGGTGGCCCCGTGCAGTGCTGCGGGGCCACCGGCTCAGGCTGCACACACAGAGCAGCTTCACTCCTCTTCCCTGCTGCCACTACTACCCACGGAAAGGGGCCCTGTGCATTACCACTCTGGAAGTGTTTAGGAGTTCTCTGCAGAGATACTGACTCTGACAGCAGTTTCCCATTCCCAGCGGCTGTGGATCCCCCAGCACACTCCACATTTCCTGCCGGCGGTGCCGCTGG